TCAAACAACCTCTATACAACTAAAGGAGACTGTGACCACACAAAAGGCCACACCATCTTGGTCTTCATACCTACAAGACTAAGGTTGGAATTTTTAAGTCAATGATTATTATAAGTATGAGGCTAGCGGATAGCAAACATTTGACTAAAGAGCTAGAACGGCTGACAAATGTATTCTTTGAAAATAATTATCCTTTGGGCCTTATCGAGAATAATATCTCTCAACAGAGGAATAAATTTTCAGACGGAGACCATTTAGTCAAAGATAGACAGACGGACCTATTCGACAAAGATTGATAGAACACAAATATGCTTGCAAAGGTAGCTGGATTCAACGGTCAGAAGTAACCGAACACATGGTAGAAACGGGACATTAAATAGAATGGTCTCAAACAAGTAGGTTTGCTGATTATAGTACGTCTGTGTGCTATTGAAATCAATAAATTAGGAAATACGGTGGTAGAAAGTTGAGTAGGAACTACTCATGCTTGATTGATAGATTGAAAGAGAGAGAGGGTGTTGAACCACCATCCAAAAGAAGGCTGCTCAAAGTGTCAGTTCAGGGATGGTTCTAAGTCCACTCAAACTCGTCCAACATGTTCGATTGAGCTAATCAGCCAAACTAGACGTGCCAGATTATGCAGCCCTAGTCCTTGGGTGATTGAACATTAATGACCCTAAATTGAGAGGTTTAGACAAGTGGTATCGTAACTTGACTTTCATGCCCACAAGCTTACATCTCATTATCTCAATCATACTTGCTTACGGACTTATTCAATCTCGGTCAGGCCTTTCTTTTGGGCCATTAAGCCTTGAAGACCAGAGCCTGGCACTAACCTTTTGATAACTAAAATTTAGGACCGGAATTGCGTATAGACGTTAATACACACACGCGCATACACACTCGAGCAAAAGTAGCAGGACCAGAATGAAAGATGATTAGCCAAACCATTCTATATCTAGCTAGGTTTTTAATTTCATTTTGAGAGGTGAGATAGAACCGGCTAGTCTTCTTGCCCTAGTAACTTTTAGAGGAATGAGACTCAGCTCTGATGATGTTCATCAAATGATGGACGAGAGCTCAGCCCGTTTTCACCCGAAACGAGGGTGGTCTCGTGGACTGCGTCAACCTGAACGTCGTATGCAAGCAAAACGGCTGCAGTTCAACGGGATTCATGCATCCTCTTCTGCTGAGATCGACCTACGAATCTCTTTTTCGTGCAATTTCATACGAAATGAAAGTTCTCCCAACAATTATAATAACGAGTATTGGAAAGTTAGACGGCATTATGTTGTTAGTATGAATGATGTAGATGTGGCAAAATAAGCCACCAATCAAGAAAGACCTTATAACACGCATTAGCTTCTCAGAACCACAGAAGCCATTTTGGTGAGAAAAGATTTACGGCCACATCATAATTAACATTACATGTCGACAAATAGGTGAAGATATACATGAGGTAGCCACACTATATTCGGGTTTAAGTTACAGGCTCGTGTTTCAAAAAGTAGATACGGTTGCAGGTTGTGGCCATTCTTAGCAGAACTTTCGCTTAATTTAATAAAATAATGCTTTCCTTTCCCTGCATTGCTTTTCAGGGCATACACTGTTCATTTTTTTAAGATAATCAGACCTGTACTAACTTTTGCTTACCGTTTATCTAACAGACTTAGGAAAATACTTCCTTTATTGTCGAAGTTTATTGAAATATATTGTACTCCGAGGTAATATACTGAATTTTATCTTTGGTCTTACTCTTTTATATACGAATTGATTAGAATTTAGAGATTATAAGTAGATCTTCAATATGAGCCTTAGTTACAATAGCTCGCCTATCAGACCTTCAGCACTTTAAGAGATCTAAGATGACTAAAGCTTATCTTTCTCTTTTATGCCTTTTTATCTTTGTTCTTAAATACAGGAGCAGGCTGATATAGAATGGAAGTTTGCAAGGTCACGGCTATGGATGAGTTATTTTGAAACAGGAGGTACGCTGCCGGTGCCGTTTAACATAATTCCCAGTTTCAAATCACTTTTATACCTATTCTGTTGGTTCAAAATCCATCTAGAATGCAAACGAAAACTTGACCACACCAAAAGTGAATCTCTTAAAGTAAGTCTTATTCTTCTATTCTTCTTCTTTTCTCTTTTATTGTTGAATACTTACGATAGTCTAACTCGCCCCCTTAGAGTTTTCGTATCTCAATTCAATCTTAAAACTTTTTTTTAATGTTAATATACATAAACTTAGCAGATGCTAAGACATAAAGCTCTATTGTTTCAGCTTTTATCCATACTTTAATTGAAGGTGCCGGAAATTCACACAAGTTCACCCAACAATCGGTAGTTCATACTTTCAAAACCAAAAGCATAAATATCTAGCAGATAAGCCTGTATAAAAAACAATATCTTTTTATAACTACATAAATGATAGTTGGCTCGCGGCGGTTGTCCGCATGTATTTGCATTTACCAAGATATCGTCCATCATTTCGTAAGAAATAATTAATAAAAATGTAGTACTAAAGCCATTTTTACATGGCACCGATCAAATTAAAATTTCTGATTAACAATATTCAAATTACAGAGAAGAAAATACATGAATGAACAACATAGAGTGGTGGTGGCTAATCTTGTCATCCGGTATCTAATGGATCGTCAACGCCGTCATGACTCGCAAGGAGTAATGGAAGATGATCTAAACGACATCAAAGCAGACATCAGCTCATTTCGCTACGAGTTACTTGAGATACTTCAGACAAATGGGATGAAGACACCACAGTCCACCCAAAGACGTAGGTCTTTACTCCAACTCCTAAGTCTGGCTTGTTTTGCCATCCTACCTCTCCTCATAGCTAGGGCGATATAAGGCTGTGAATGAGTAAAGGGTGAATGTGATTGAAGAAATATATTGATCTCAATCATTTTGCTTAGCCATACTTTCTTTAAGACAAGAATCACAACCAGTTTAGAAGCCTAAGGCGATTAAAGGCCTGATTGTTGATTCTACCCCCAATTTAATTAATATAAGGTCCCCAGCTCCATTGCATTTGACTTTGAATTGCCAATTTATATTCTCTATTTCGGCAGATAATAGAAAGAATGGGTTTCGAAATTATCAGTACTTTTAAAAAAAATAAGAGTTAGCCGCTTTAAATCAACC